GTAACTTCAACAATATCGACAATTAACTGAGTTCAAAAATTTAAAGAATAGCGCTTGATTGATAAAATTTAACTTTAATTTGATTCCCTTAGTGAAAATCAGAATAGAATTTATATTGATCAAATCTACAAGGAAGGATGCCTTAAATGCCTTAAATGCCTTAAATGTTATTATAAACACTTTCACTTCTCCGATCGAATGGGTATGTATAATTTGGTTTTTATTTACTATTTTATTATTTAATAAATCGGATTCTTTTTCTATATTAGAGAGAACCAATATCTTATTCAATCTGGAATACAATTTAGTCAACATTCCAACTTATATTTTTTTTAAGGTAAGGAAAAATTTTTGAGATAATATAAAATAAATTAAAATAAGTAACTTCAACAATATCGACAATTAACTGAGTTCAAAAATTTAAAGAATAGCGCTTGATTGATAAAATTTAACTTTAAATTTGATTCCCTTAGTGAAAATCAGAAAACAATTTATATTGACCAAACCTACAAGGAAGGGTGCCTTAAATGACTTAAATGCCTTAAATGCCTTAAATGTTATTGTAAACACTTTCACTTCTCCGATCGAATAGGTATGTATAATTTGGTTTTTATTTACTATTTTATTAATTAATAATTCGGATTCTTTTTCTATATTAGAGAGTACCAATATCTTATTCAATCTGGAATACAATTTAGTCAACATTCCAACTTATATTTTCTTTAAGGTAAGGAAATAAGGAAAATAGTTTTTGAAATAAAGTGAAATAAATTAAAATAAGTAACTCCAACAATATCGACAATTAACTGAGTTCAAAAATTTAAAGAATAGCGCTTTGATTGATAAATTTTAACTTTAAATTTGATTCCATTAGTGAAAATCAGAAAGGAATTTATATTGACCAAATCTACAAGGGAGGGTGCCTTAAATGCCTTAAATGTCTTAAATGTTATTATAAACACTTTCACTTCTCCGATCGAATAGGTATGAATAATTTGGTTTTTATTTACTATTTTATTAATTAATAAATCGGATTCTTTTTCTATATTAGAGAGTACCAATATCCTATTCAATCTGGAGTACAATTTAGTCAACATTCCAACTTATATTTTTTTTAAGGTAAGGAAAATAGTTTTTGAAATAAAGTAAAATAAATTAAAATAAGTAACTCCAACAATATCGACAATTAACTGAGTTCAAAAATTTAAAGAATAGCGCTTTGATTGATAAATTTTAACTTTAAATTTGATTCCATTAGTGAAAATCAGAAAGGAATTTATATTGACCAAATCTACAAGGGAGGGTGCCTTAAATGCCTTAAATGTCTTAAATGTTATTATAAACACTTTCACTTCTCCGATCGAATAGGTATGAATAATTTGGTTTTTATTTACTATTTTATTAATTAATAAATTGGATTCTTTTTCTATATTAGAGAGTACCAATATCTTATTCAATATGGAATACAATTTAGTCAACATTCCAACTTATATTTTTTTTAAGGTAAGGAAAATAATTTTTGAAATAAAATAAAAAAATTAAAATAAGTAACTTCAACAATATCGACAATTAACTGAGTTCAAAAATTTAAAGAATAGCGCTTGATTGATAAAATTTAACTTTAAATTTGATTCCCTTAGTGAAAATCAGAAAACAATTTATATTGACTAAACCTACAAGGAAGGGTGCCTTAAATGACTTAAATGCCTTAAATGCCTTAAATGTTATTATAAACACTTTCACTTCTCCGATCGAATAGGTATGTATAATTTGGTTTTTATTTACTATTTTATTATTTAATAAATCGGATTCTTTTTCTATATTAGAGAGTACCAATATCTTATTCAATCTTCAATCTGGAATACAATTTAGTCAACATTCCAACTTATATTTTTTTTAAGGTAAGGAAAATAGTTTTTGAAATAAAGTAAAATAAATTAAAATAAGTAACTCCAACAATATCGACAATTAACTGAGTTCAAAAAATTTAAAGAATAGCGCTTTGATGGATAAATTTTAACTTTAAATTTGATTCCCTTAGTGAAAATCAGAAAGGAATTTATATTGACCAAATCTACAAGGAAGGGTGCCTTAAATGTCTTAAATGTTATTATAAACACTTTCACTTCTCCGATCGAATAGGTATGTATAATTTGGTTTTTATTTACTATTTTATTAATTAATGAATCGGATTCTTTTTCTATATTAGAGAGTACCAATATCTTATTCAATCTGGAATACAATTTAGTCAACATACCAACTTATATTTTTTTTAAGGTAAGGAAAATAGTTTTTGAAATAAAGTAAAATAAATTAAAATAAGTAACTCCAACAATATCGACAATTAACTGAGTTCAAAAATTTAAAGAATAGCGCTTGATTGATAAAATTTAACTTTAAATTTGATTCCCTTAGTGAAAATCAGAAAACAAGTTATATTGACCAAACCTACAAGGAAGGGTGCCTTAAATGACTTAAATGCCTTAAATGTTATTATAAACACTTTCACTTCTCCGATCGAATAGGTATGTATAATTTGGTTTTTATTTACTATTTTATTATTTAATAAATCGGATTCTTTTTCTATATTAGAGAGTACCAATATCTTATTCAATCTGGAATACAATTTAGTCAACATTCCAACTTATATTTTTTTTAAGGTAAGGAAAATAATTTTTGAAATAGTGAAAATAAATTAAATAAGTAACTCAACCATATCGACAATTAACTGATCAAAAATTTAAAAGAATAGCGCTTTGATTGATAAAATTTTCAACTTTAATTTGTTCATTAGTGAATCAGAAAGGAATTTATATTGAGCCAAATCTAAGGAAGGGTGCTCTTAAATGCCTTAAATGTTATTATAAACACTTTCACTTCTCCGATCGAATAGGTATGTATAATTTGGTTTTTATTTACTTTTTTATTAGTTAATAAATAGGATTCTTTTTCTATATTAGAGAGTACCAATATCTTATTCAATCTGGAATACAATTTAGTCAACATTCCAACTTATATTTTTTTTAAGGTAAGCAAATTCATTTTTGAAATAAAATAAAATAAATTAAAATAAGTAACTCCAACAATATCGACAATTAACTGAGTTCAAAAATTTAAAGAATAGCGCTTGATTGATAAATTTTAACTTTAAATTTTATTCCCTTAGTGAAAATCAGAAAAGAATTTATATTGACCAAATCTACAAGGAAGGGTGCCTTAAATGACTTAAATGCCTTAAATGTTATTATAAACACTTTCACTTCTCCGATCGAATAGGTATGTATAATTTGGTTTTTATTTACTATTTTATTAATTAATAAATAGGATTCTTTTTCTATATTAGAGAGTACCAATATCTTATTCAATCTGGAATACAATTTAGTCAACATTCCAACTTATATTTTTTTAAGGTAAGAAAATAGTTTTTGAAATAAAGTGAAATAAATTAAAATAAGTAACTCCAACAATATCGACAATTAACTGAGTTCAAAAATTTAAAGAATAGCGCTTTGATTGATAAATTTTAACTTTAAATTTGATTCCATTAGTGAAAATCAGAAAGGAATTTATATTGACCAAATCTACAAGGGAGGGTGCCTTAAATGCCTTAAATGTCTTAAATGTTATTATAAACACTTTCACTTCTCCGATCGAATAGGTATGAATAATTTGGTTTTTATTTACTATTTTATTAATTAATAAATCGGATTCTTTTTCTATATTAGAGAGTACCAATATCCTATTCAATATGGAATACAATTTAGTCAACATTCCAACTTATATTTTTTTTAAGGTAAGGAAAATAGTTTTTGAAATAAAGTAAAATAAATTAAAATAAGTAACTCCAACAATATCGACAATTAACTGAGTTCAAAAATTTAAAGAATAGCGCTTTGATTGATAAATTTTAACTTTAAATTTGATTCCATTAGTGAAAATCAGAAAGGAATTTATATTGACCAAATCTACAAGGAAGGGTGCCTTAAATGCCTTAAATGTCTTAAATGTTATTATAAACACTTTCACTTCTCCGATCGAATAGGTATGTATAATTTGGTTTTTATTTACTATTTTATTAATTAATAAATCGGATTCTTTTTCTATATTAGAAAGTACCAATATCTTATTCAATCTGGAATACAATTTAGTCAACATTCCAACTTATATTTTTTTTAAGGTAAGGAAAATAGTTTTTGAAATAAAGTAAAATAAATTAAAATAAGTAACTCCAACAATATCGACAATTAACTGAGTTCAAAAATTTAAAGAATAGCGCTTTGATTGATAAATTTTAACTTTAAATTTAATTCCCTTAGTGAAAATCAGAAAGGAATTTATATTGACCAAATCTACAAGGAAGGGTGCCTTAAATGCCTTAAATGTCTT